GTGATGATAAGAAAGCATAAAATTTTAATGTAAAAAGTTCAGATAATGCTTCTATAAGATAAATTAACAGACCAACTATCTTGAAATATATACATTGTGAAAGGATGTACTATTACCATTGGAAAAAAATTTGGCAGAAGTACAGATACAGCCACAAATTATCTAAAGCTCAAGTTTATATCAAATGGAAGCTAGTTTATTGAATAGATTAAATAAAAAACAAAATCAATTTACGGCAAATTTTCGATTTTAATCTCATTTTCCGATTCTATAGACAAGTATTTTTTTTCATTGATTTCATATTTGTATTTTATTAAAATAGTATTTTAATATGAACAAAAACTCATCGTCAATAATCTTTTCAATTGTTAAAACCAAATATTTACACACGAAAAGATACTTGTAATATTATTTTGTTCATTGTTTCATATCTATTATCATGAACAACAAACATCAGTTGGCAAGTATGAGAGAGACAAATAGAAAGCGAAAAAAAAATGAAATATACATATATGCAACATTTTTTATCATAATTATCGATGATCTCCACAAATCAAAACACAACCTCAATCCAAAATATATCCATCAATTAAACATATAGAATAATTCAACTAAATCAAAAGTGTCTAGTTCTCATCCTTGGTTTTTTTCAATTCAATAATATGGTGATCGTCCTCGCATAGAATCATAAATACTGGCATTCGAATCGGTAATGTCAGTACTATCATGTATGCCTCCAACTGAACACCATGTACTACTATTCGATGTCGAATATACGCCTAAAAATATGAACTAAGACCATTGACATTGTCAACATCAACATTAGTGTTCAAAAACATCTCGACCATCAACAAATGATGATATCGGTTGTGTACGAACCTATGATACGGTTAATACACTGATAGGTGCTGTTTGATTCAAACATACACCATCATCTTTGTAAAATAAGTCTGGATATGTATAGATATGAATTCAAATCAATTGAGATTCAAAATAAAAAACAAGCAACCGCAACTGTAACAAAACCAAACAAATCAATTTATACTACTTGATAATTGTGATGATAATTGTAACCTTCTAGTTAAATCAGATAATTCTTGATAACTTGAATATCTAACAGCAAGTGATGAATAAACAGAATCTAATATTAAAAAAACAAAATTCTTGTTATCAAAAAACAAAAAAATTAAATAACTAACTGAAATTTGAATATGGATCAACATCTAATAATGATGAAGAATTAAGTACTGAAGAAGCACACGCAATTAATTCTGTTAAACCACTAGTTGTATTTTGTGATAATTGTGCAAGTGTTTGTAAAGCTGTAAGATCATTATGATTGATAAAATCTTTAAAAAAATAATAAGTTAATTCAAATAAAATCATGAAAATAATTTCTACCTGATATATTTGTTGTAATTTTTTGCATTGGGGTGTGGGTTCATAACAGAGGTACACCCACACTCACACCCTGAAATCTGAACGAACTTTCACAATATCATCACAATCTCAATACAACTATGTGTTTGAAAATGTCAATAATCCAAATATCGAGAAAATAGAGGTACATTTAACGTTTTTTCTCCTTGGCTCAATAGTGCATTAATTTTAGGTATTGAAAAATCGAATTAAATCTACTACTCATATACCTGATCTGATTAGATATTATTCAACACGTGCATTTATTTTCTACGAGATGCATAATTGGGAAGGTAAGATTTGTAAGATTTTTTTTTCATATATCAGTGTGCATGTTTCTTCTTTAGATGTACTTAAAGACATTGAGTTTGTTGAGAAACATGTAAAGATTGAGGACTCTTTGTTGGTTCTCAAATGGTATAATAATTATATCCATGTCTCTACTTTAATGTAAATAGTTTTATTTTAATTATTCAGGAAATCAACAATTCATAAGCAAATGAGTAAAATTCGGGATGCAATGAAAGATTGCGTCGACAAAAAATGGAATAAAATTTTGTTTCCTACATAATAAATCTGCAATGGAAAATGTTTGTTTTAGTTATGGATAATACAGACTTTATGGATCTGTTAAACTCAATCAAGGCTGAACATGTAGAAGAACTTATTAAAAGTAAGAATCACAATATGCAAAGTGAAATTATTTTACAGTGTTGTTTATTTTAGAACGAAAACAAACACAACGAGGCAACAACAAAAGATGTAAAAACTAACTTTATATCTTCAATCGGTTTTCAAATTCTTATCTGTTTTTCTGTGGTTTTTTCTTCAATATTTTGTTTTTTTTTTATTAAAAAATACACACATTTTGACGGCTCTTGATAGACATTTAAAAGCTTTTGTATAAATAAATGTTTTATAATTTATGTCGGTAGATTGTTCGATCTTCATTGACGTTGATAGTTTAAGAATGAAGAATGAGATGACATGTTCCAATGAAAGAAAAACGTCCTATTGGTGATCGATCTTGAAAATAATAAAATGAATAATGATCGAAACGAACCTAAATGTAGCATATCAAAAGCCCTTGCGTAGAATTTGAATTGTGTAAAGTTTATGAAATAAAGAAAATATTGGTTCAACAAAAGAACCATTTATTCATTTAAATTATTGCAGCATCTGGTTAATAAGACTATTCACACATAGCACTAGCTGCTCTCAACCAGAACTCATTAATGTTGCTAAGGAAAACTAAGGTAGTTCATGAAATCTAATGATTAAAAATAATTCGAAACAAATTGCTAATGAAGACATTGTTCATCGAAAGATCGAATAAAGCATCATTCAATGCTACATTAGAACAAATAAATGATAGATATATTAAATTTGTAGATTAATATACCATAGTAGAGTGTGGGTGTAGGTGTGAGTATCAGTTTTCTCCACACCCACACCCACCCCACACCCACACCCACACCCACACCCACACCCACACCCACACATCCACATCCACCCCACACCCACCCCACACCCACACTCACGCCCACACCCACACCCATACCCACACCCACATCCACCCCACACCCACACCCACACATCCACATCCACACCCACCCCACCCACACCCACACGCACCCAGAAAAACTAGTTTCTTTAATTAAAAATTACTATCAACGAGGAGAAAATATTGAATATGCTCGTAAAGCGTTCAACACGAAGTATGGCAAAGACTCAGCACCTCATCGTGACACAGTCGAACGGTAAATAAAACGTTCAAATTGTTTTCTTTAATTTAAAATTGTTTTAACAATAGTTTCATTGAAAAATTTGAGACAACAGCAAACACGAATGATGCTCGGCCTCAATCAACTGGTCGACCACGAGTTGTGACTTGTGATGAAAACATTTTAAAAGTCGAACAGTATTTTCAACAAAATCCAACCACATCAATTTGTCGGGCAGCTCAAGCTTTAAACATAAAATGTGAAAGTTTGCGCATAATCAAACGCTATTTTGCTAATTTGTTTCCGTATAAGATTCAAATCAATCAACCTTTACAACCTGAAGCATTAGAAAAACAGAAATTGTTTTGTCAAATTTTGTCATCTGCTATTGAAGCAAAAGATTTAAATGTGAACAAAATTTGGTTTAGTGACGAGGCTCATTTTTGGTTAAATACGTAAAAAAGCCTGTTTTTCTGGCTCTAATCCTGCCATGATTAAAATCGATACAAGTAAGTAAGTTTAATTAGTGCGAAAACAATGGCGACTATTCTTGTTTACAACAATGAAAAATAGAGGCCGCTGCCTATCGTAGTTGCTGTGATGCAAATGTTTTCATTTGTTGTATACCTTCCTGGTCACCTTGTACCATCATCATGAATGTAGTAAAAATAATTATCTTTACGCAGTTAATAAAAAACGATTAAAATCAGCTTATTTTGTATTTCTATTGTTTTCTTCTAACAACCATCTAGATTCATGTCTATATGATTGTTGTTCCTCGATAAAATAAAATATTTCTTATTAATAAGTATGTCTCCGCTTGAGCGACGGAAAATGTGTAATAATATCAGGCAGAAAATTTTATTTTAAACACATTACTAATGCTCTTTCAAACTGATCAATATAAAAGCCAATTGAACTTTAACGTTCATTGATCAAAAAGTGATGGTTGTGCCTGTTTCACATGGAAATAACGGCTGATCGAAATTCATATTTCTCTTGTCATACTCGTGCCTTGTTTCTGGTTTTGCATGTTGTTATATTTTCTAAAATTTTCTTCTATATGTTACAGTTAATTGACGTTAGAAAGAGAAAGATTTTCATGTTTATTAATAATGTTAAAATGAATATTAGAAAGCAAAAAAGCAACGAATAAAAAGCATTTTTTACAGTATAGTTAATTGGTGTTTGATTGATCATGGATAAATGGTAACTTTGGTTGAAATGGGTGAACCAGTTCCTTTCCATTGAATCCAAAAAGTAATGTTGAGCACATTTCCAGGTGTTGTATAAAATGTTTGTGATAGATTTGTTCCTGCAGAAGCACCTTCACTATGACACCGCTGACCTGTATGTGCATTACTTCCTACAACAATATTTGCATTAGACCATCCACGCCAATATAAGGTGCTGTTATTCTCAAAATTTCCATTATTAAGAAGCTCTGTTCCATATGTATTCTTGACTGAAACATCGTCAAGATATGTCCACGATGGACCATTTTGCATGAAAAATGATAATGTCGTTTGATAAGCCCTTGCTATATAGACCGAAGAGATTTTGTAATAGCTGGGTAAACTTGTATAGGGATTAACCATTGAATAAAGAATTGTTACATTCGATTGACTGTTTGCTAAAATTAATTTTTTACATTAAACTAAATTTTTGAAGAAGTTCTGATGTACATACTCGTTTGGCTAGTTGTTTGTGTTATTGAAGTCGATGATTCTAAACAATAGAGTCATTGTAAAAGTACAAAAGAAATTTAACATTGCTTGATTACTTATGATACTACGATCGAGCAATGAATTATCACGTAAATCACCTGCATGATCAAATAAAATAAAGATAAAAAAAAGAATAAAATAGACTTACGAAGAACAATTGTCGGTAATTGACCGAACATTGGTTTAATCATTATTGCTCCTACTCCAAAAACCAACAATAAAACCAAAACCATTAAAAATTGACAACAGTAAGATTTTGAATGATTACTAAATTAATTTAATTAATTGATAAGATATTATTTTATAAAAATACTTACGGATGTTCTTTACCGATGAAAATAATGCCATCTTTAATTGTTAATTGATTCACCTCTTTTGGAATAGTTACTACCTATAAAAACTTGTGAACTCAGACAAATTTGTTAAAGCTTTTGTCTTTACTTGTCCGGTAGTCGATGGTAAAAAAACTTCGGAAAATTTCTCGGCCATTTTTTTAAAATCCGATGATTGTATATCGACTAAAATAAATTACTTCGTTTCAATAAATGACTGAAAAAAGTATGACTACAGACAAGACAACTGTTGAGTTTTATACTGAATAAATATTTTAAATAAAAAAGAGAGAAAATAACAATTGATGCTTATAGGTTTATTGACTAAAAGGAAACAGACACAACATAATTTCATTGGCTTGGCATAAATATTTATTGCATGAATACTCATTTTTCTTTACAACACGATAGCAAACAAGTCAAATATACAGACATTACCATAGCATTCGTATACTAATACAATAGTTCAATATAGATAAAACAAGACATTTATTATTTTTTTTATTTGACCATTCACAAAAGTAGACATTGTAAGAGCACGTCATTTAGTTTTTTTTTGCTATAAGAGTAATACTAGGAAGAGAAGGACTGAAAAATTCTAGAAATTCTATTTGATAAAAATGTATGTTAATGTAAAATATTTTTCTTTCGTCGACAAACCTGTCATCATATATGCGCAATATCATCATACATGCGCAATATCATTCATACATGTGCTCTTGACAAATTCTTCGGCACTGAAAAAAGAATATATAAAAAACTCAATTTCACTTGACTGTTTTACTTTGTGGTAGTTCACAAGTTTAAAATACAACATTTAAAAGAAAATATGTCTGTTCTTTGATTTTGAATATTAAGATTCGATTTAGTCATTCACACAACACAATAGATTACATTTTTATTTCAAATAAAAGTTTTTTCTTTCAAAAACAAACTCATCTATTTAGTTAATGACCGGTCTATCAGGTTTAAGATTATATGAGTCATATGATGAGTATCTTAAACAAAAATAAAACCGATCATGGTATTGCATCTATTTTAAAGATATCCATGATTTTGACATCATAAAAACAATCTTGATGTCTCTTTTACTTTTATTATTACTGTTTACCTTCTATCAGAGGAGAAGAGATGTATTTTTTTAAAAATGCAACACAAAAAAACAGCCAACATGGCATTGATTTGTGTTATGAAGAAGAGAGAAGACGAAAGAGAGATTTAAACATACTCTTAACTTTTCTTATTATTCAAGAATAACTTTCGTTTTGTCTTGTATACAATTGTCGTGATTCAATAGAAGAAAAGCAAGTAAGTAGAATGTTGAAGAAAAATTGAAGCTGGAAACCGTGATACAACGAAAGAGGAAATTGATAATTCTAGGTACTGGGACCAAACATGTGGATACATTAGTATATAAATATACGAATACATGTGAATTCGAGATTCTGAGGCTATATATATGGATATCTGAGAATATTAATACAACAATACATCAATACATGAGTAAATAAGCGTACATTTTGTATTTGCACAGCTTTGGTCTAGTGGCTAAATAAGCAGATTTGGCAATTCTGAAGACAGATGCCCACAGTCAAATGTTTATTCAAAAAAGATGATGAGAAGTCAACAACAAAAGAGAATGAAGACAGTAAAATACAGTAAAGATACACGCCAAAGAAAGAAGGAACAGAGCACACAGAGGGAATAGTCGACATTGGATCGACCAACTGAACCAAACAAAAATAGAAAACTCATTTTGACTATAAATAAGCGTGTATCGTCAAAGACTGCGGTAAATGAGCGATGGTGATTATAAGAGAAAACATACAGCGTATAAAAATACGCACGATGAGAGTCAAAGATGATCAAGGTAGAGAGAGAGAGAAAAGACTCGCATGCACATTTAGACAGAAGTAATATTGATGTTAAGATGACATCGGCTGCAACAATATTCGATTTTGACTATATAAGAATGGAAACAAAAAACCATCGAGGGAGACTCGTTTGATGTGCACTATAATTTGTAAACGAATATTTTTTGTCATTAATCACGCTTAGATACTTTGACGAAAACGGGTTTTGTCGGTCGGCTTAGTTCTGCCAACTGCTTCTTATTGATTGTTGCTTCGAAATTGGCTGATTGTGGCATTAATTCCATTTTGCACATTTTTGATCATCGAATAAGTAAAATTTTGATTTGCATTTTTGCATATCTTTCTCCAGTACAAGGATGTTTACGGCGTCCAAAAGACAATACTTTATATGGATCAGCCTTCATCTCTTCTCGTGGTTTCAAATGTCTTTCGGGATCAAACTTGTTTGGATTAAGATACAAATCATGTGCGCCAGTCAAAGGAGTTGCAACAAGATTTCCGGATGGAATAAATTTGTCATACGAAAGAGAAATATTTTCGCCAGCATGTCGCAGACTCAATAGAAAATCAGTATGCATTCTAATTACTTCATAAATACATGCTTGAACATATTCCATCGAATTCAAATATTCAATTGTTATTTTACCTTGCACCGGTGCACAGTCGATTTCGTCTTTGATTCGTTGACCAATTTCATCGTGTTCATGACGAATCCATTCGAGAATGATATATGAAGCTGTTGTGTATGTATTCAGCTGTGCTGGAACAATAGACAAATAAGCAAGATAAGCCACTAGTCGAGGTGTAAGGGTGTGGGTGTAGAATAAATGAAAAACATTACCCACACCCACCCACACACCCACACCCACACCCTTGGGTGTGGATGATGTGGGGTGTGGGTATAGGCGTCAGTGTTTTTCTCAATATTATCCACACACACATACCAATACCTATACCCACCCACTCATACTCATCCACCCACACCCACCCACATCCACCCACACTCACACCCACACCAACATTCCACACCCTGAATATTAAATCCAGTCATAGAAGAGGCCTGCAAATAACGAAGGGTATATTATGTTTTAATAAACAAAACTTAAGATAACATCAAGTAGTGTAGTGAAGAAAAGAAAGGGTGTGGGTGGTATGTGCAGTGTTGCTGTGGCTGTGGGTGCTGTTGAAGAGAAGATCTACACCCACACCCACGCCACACTCATTCATATCAACGCCCTCTAGAGAATTTTACTCCTTATATCACTACTGCAAACAAAAATATTAAAGAGCAAGAAAACATCAAAACTGAAAAAAAATCAAAAGTTCTTCTACGTTTGCGACTAAAATACTATAGAATTCATTTTGTTTTTTCACTTGATAAATTTTTTGACTCCTCTCTTTTTTGATCAAAGTCGAATTATATACAGAGTCTGAACGAAAAATAAGACGAATTGTCCACGAAGCTGTGCTTTTGCATCTACAAATAGTTTTTTTTTTAAATTTCAGTGAATTTTCACTTTCTTATATAAGGAAAAAGGGTTTTTTTGTTGGACTGCTTACGTGTGAATGCAGAAAAGACCTGATTGGTGAGAGATTCTGAAAGGGTCGACAGTTATTTATTTAATGATTAAAGACAAGAATTAATCATATGCGAGACATGTTTCTTATCTAATTCTCCTCGTTTTTCTCTCTTGCATTTCTTCTCTTATTTCATTCTTCTTTTACAATATCATAGGCTATGGATGTCGGTGTTCGCTAAAGTGCAATGGATTTATACCCACATCATACTACTACAGTTATTCAAGTTGCTCTTGGATAGACTTCAGTGATTATTGTATTCAGATGTGTTACATAATTTCGAGTTGATTAGAAATACGTTCATGCTTTCGTTGTACTTGTTTAAAGTCGATCTTGGATTGATGCGTCATATAAGAAAAGAACTATTCTTGACATACATGAAGAAACTATTTTGCGTGAGACAGACGAAAAAAGAGACTTATGACGGATTCTTCCTTTTTCTTCTCTTGATGACACATAAAACACACAACACGTGATATTTTACAATAGTCGAATCTATTTCAAAATGTAACTTCGTTGAAACTTGTTTTTTTTATGAAATACATAGATCAATAGAGTCATTTACACCATTCTAATTTATTGCGAATCTTTTAATCAGAACCTAGTAAAGTATCATTGGTATTGTAGAGGCTAGCTTTGTGATAATTGATAGAAAAGTTCTTTCAGACATTTGGTTCCCGACAAGAATTTCTGAAGCTTTTTAATATTTTATTGGATTGAAACTTACTGACAGTGTTAGATTTAAGTTTATCAACTATGAATATCGACATGATAATTATTAGAAACCATCCCATAGACGAAGAAAAATTCGTCTCTCTTTATGAATATAGTGTCAATATCTGAATTAGAACTCCGCTGGACGAGATAGAGCAGGATAGCAAGACTCCAAGATGAAAGTGGATGGCTAAGAGCCGTCGCATAGAGTCAGAAGACTGAAAAATCTTTCACCAAGTGTCTCTAACTTCAAATGTAGGTGTGAGTTAAGGAACGACTAATATCCATGTCCATCTACTTAAATCTATTTTTTGAATAACCTTCAATTTAATTAAGAGTAAAAAATTACCTAGAAAGTTCCTGCTTAGTTAAATCTTTGACCAGGTGAAAGCATCAATTTTTGGGAAAAGTTACACTTTTTTATGGGATCAGAATGATAGAATGCTGACCTTGCAGATCTATATTTATGCGTCTGTTTTCCACTAGCAATCGGTCATGGACCACTTTATATGTTCCTTTCGTTATCTAAGGTTTATCGTTAGCTATCTTTCTATCGTACCCATTGGAGCTCCATTTTAGATATTCGACAGATTCGAGTTTATTTTCTCTAATCTAAGGTGTAGTCTAATCAACAGTAACTTAAACTCATGCACTCATCGAATACACAAATGGATCATCATGAAAATAAGCAGAATATAAATGCCGATGGAGAACGAATACACGATGACAAGCTGCAGAAACCAAATATTTACAATAGATACTTACCGTTCTATGAATCTATCAAACAACGAGGTTTTGAATCTTTCGATGAAATTCGAGAAAATTTATCTCGCACCATTCAACTTGGCGAATTGTATCCAGGTTTCTTGGTGTGGTCAATTGCATTACAACGATTCATTGAACTTTATGGTTTCTATTTCACCAAAATTGATCATCTCAAGCTGATTAATTTCTATATGGCTGTTCTTTCCATTAAGGATCTTAATTATTC